CTGTTGCTGGTTCAGATGCACCTTCCAGCTCTTCCTTGGGGCCTTTGTGCTCCTCCCTTTCCAAACCCTGAAACTGGGCTGTAAAAGTTCTCTTGTCATGGAGAACTTTCAAAATTTTTGTTCTTGAATGAAGTGACCTCATACCAGGGTCTTTGAAACCCCACACATTATGCCCTGTAAATGAGGAAAAAAAGCCAAAAAACCCAAGCACTCTGAGTGAATCTTTATGGTGATCCAAAATACTTTAGGCAGATCCTGTCATATGCTTTGTAAGTTCCTGACTGATTGTGTGGAATTAAGTTATTGGGCAGAGAACCAGCTAATGGAAACACATTGATGAAATCATTTTTGAGGGACATTAAATGGAACTTAAAATAAAGCTGAAATGGCCTTATGGATTTTTCAGTCAAACTGTTTATGAACATTTATCGGTGGTAAATTACACAGTGTCAGAAGAGGGAATCAGTATAATGGAAGTCTCTCTGATATAATACTGTGAGAAAGAATAATTTATTGCCTAGGGATGTATAGTACAGTGTGTTTAAATACTAATGATGTTATTGTTTTCTTCTATCTTTGGCTGATTGCACATAAGTTACCCTTAGAAGCAGCAGAGAGTCTCATGTGATGAAAAAAAATTCAGTACTTTGCAATGAAATAGAATTTTTCTGTTACGCATTTTCATGGCAGATAGAAAATGTTTTAATAACAGATAATTCAGGAAGYAGAAGCTGTGTTGTACAATAATAAATGTAGGTTACATTTGCTTTGTACTCAGTAAAAGGGGAAGTGGGATAGAGTAGGTTTGATTAAAAAGGGATATTGTAGCAGCTGATTTTTGAATTGTTGGAGCTGTGTGTTAATAGCATTTGCCAAAACCCATCATTGCTCAGGTAGAGGACAGTGAAAATATGACTAAAGGAGCACAAGACTAGAAGGAAATTGATTGTCCTAAAAACATTGCCCCTTGTTTTGAGGCACCACATCGTCCAGTCAGGAATTGTAAGATCTGTTATATTGTGCCACATAACTGAAAAGCTGTTCCCATTGCAGCTCCTCCTTTGGCTGGAGAACACTCACTTTCCTTCCCAAATATATTCAGGAGCAGTTTACTGCTACTCATAAGCATTGGCTCTCATATAAACATTGGCCTAGAGCCAGTAGTTCTTTTTCCTTCATGTTATTTACYCTCCTAATGTATTTATGCACAGCATGAGTCTCCTTCCCGAGCACATCACACTGCTCAGCCACAAAGCCAAGTCCTTCCAGGCTTCTTTTGTAGGATAACTTTTCCTGTTTGTGCAGTCATGACAATATTTCCTCTCTGTACACTCTCCTCACTGGGGATGAGCAGGGGGAGCACACAACAGTTCAAGGATTCACTGATGATTCTTAAAATAATGTCTTTTTTTTTTTATGTTACTGTTAGCTTTCTTCTTGCCTTTCAGTTTAATGTCACRTTTGCCTTCCCTTTGACTCTGTCACACTGCCATGAATCATGAGTAGCATTCAGCTTTTATCCAGGGATGTTATAGCTTGGAAGCCTCCAACATGTAGAAGAAATTTTTACTACTTTCTAAGCTCATGACCTTGGAATTCATATTTTCAGCCATTTGTTCCTCCATAACATCCCAGTTCTCCTCAGCAGAGCCAGAACAGCCCCATTCAGTGACAACAACACATTTCCCTCAAAGTTTCCTTCATTTTTTTGCCAAAGCCTCGAGTCACAGTTGGATTCCATGATCTTAAGAGTYTTTTCCAACAGAAGTGATTCTGTAATTCTAAAACCACTAAATGAGGTCACTTCCTCCAGCCTTCACTTTCAACACCAGCCAAGACTGATGCTGTCAAAGCCTGKCTGGGGACTTCCACAGTGGCCAAAAAGCAGACTTTTGACACAAAAATGTCCAGTGGAGCTGAGTTAGTCCAAGGCAGTTCTTTCCCTGGGGAGCTTCTGATCCCCCAGGCAGAGACTGAGACTCTTCAAAATGGAATAGAAGGGGCTGGAGGGAGGGGGCTGGAGGAGGTCCAGAAAATTCCCAGAACACAAAAAGAAGAGGATGGTTCTTTATGGAAATCTCCAGGCAGCAGGCTGAAACCGAAGGAAGGACTTTTATAAAGTATTTAATTCACCCATCAGTGCCCTGCTCCAGAAAAGGGGACACTTAAGATGGGAATTGGGTGAGGTGAGGGAAGTTGATCAACTCTTGAGCCAATTCAAGGGGRTCTGACAGCAGAGTCAGGGCAGGGATCAGCATCCCCTCGTGGCTGATGTCTATGCAGTGACAGGGACAGGTGGCCCTTTGGGACATTCTGTGTTCTTAGGGGGAATAATAAGGAATTACACTGTCAAGGCAGGAAGCCTTATCAAGGCAGGGAATGTTCACCTCTAATYTGGATCAAAGGAGAGAAACAGAAGGGTTTGGAAATCTCATTTCTGTTCCCAGTGCATAAAGGACTTTTTCATGGATCTGGAATAAGGCAGACAGGAAAAGAGGGTTTGAGAATTGTGTAGGGATAGGAAAACAAGGAGATGGAGGAAACAAATACCCAGCACTTTTATTTTCAACTTTCTTGAAAAGACTGCATTGAGGTCTTCACTAACCTTCTTTCCAAAGTTGCTTCCTGCATTTAAATTAAATAATGAAAGCTTGGAAAACMCCAAATTTAGACATCAGTTGGTTTCTCCTTATTCTGAGGCACTTCTGGTTACAGGCAGGTAGTTATTTTGAGCTTTGCATGACTTGAGTACCCGACTTAATGTATCTAAAAATCATTCAAAATGCCCAGCATAAAGTCACCATTTAAGCCATGTGGATGGAAAGGGTGTAAGAATATCAGTGTGCATCTCTCCAGCTGCACCTCCTCATCTTCCTTCCCTCAAAAATCACTGTTTTACTCTGCAGATAAGCACAGGCTGGGTGTTTTGCTGCATTTCRTTGCAAAGCCAAGAGCCAAGGCAATCGTGTGGATAAGCAGAGATTTAAATCATTTGGGAACTGTTGAGAGAGGACAGATCTGATAGTAACAACCTTCATGGCTGGCAAGTTACAGCTGCTTATGACAACTTGTAACAATGAAGGCTTATGGTAGAGTTAAAAGCAAAATATCTGTATTGTGCCATAGGATCAGTTTCAATCCCCAAGTATAAAGCTTCAAACTTTATGCTGCTTTTATCATCTTGGAGTTTACTTTGTTTTTCTCTGGTTAAACTCTCTGGTCTGGATTTTTTAAATAAATGTTAGAATGCTTGTTTTCATTCTGGCTTTTTTTTTCGTTAACACAGTGGGACAGCTTAGTTAATTTATTTCAGTGCAAAGAAAGTGTAATCTTACTGAAGCTGTAGGTGTTTCTCACTTATAGCAGCAGTTACAGCAGGATGTTGTCTTAACATGTTTTGCACCATCTCAGAACATCTGTTATTCTGTAATGATTCTTTCAGACTGTGCACAGATAACAGTTACGATACCATGTGTTAGGAGAGGTCTCAAACTGTATGCTAAAAGTTTTCATCAGTTGTTTGCAGCAATAACTTTAGCAAACTAAAATTCAAATTAAAAAAAAATCCAAAAACAATCAAACAAAAAATCCTCCAAAAAAAAAAAAAAAAACCAACAAAAACAAAAAAACTCCACCAGTGTTGTCTCCATGCTGAACTGAAATTGCTGATGACTGCAGGTAATGAATGGCTAATTGTTGTCAATGCTTCTGAAGGCAAGACCAGAGGTTTAAATTGAAGAATATAGGTCATACTTGCTCACTGGGCTGGCAGCTATATATTGGAGAGCAGGAACATCAATTTCTGGTGCACTGTGTGTGTGAGACACTTAGTACCACTCTCAGCTSTGCTTTAATTGGAAGTTTCAGTGGGAGCAGGAACGTGATGTTCTGCAGCAGAGAGTGTCGGGGACAGCACCTGGGGACTCCTGTGCTCCAACAGAGTGTTTTAAAAGTAGAACAGGTTTAGAAAAAAAAACATTGAGAAGTCCAGCAGATTTGCTTCACAGTGATTGATTCAGAAAGCTCAGACTTTTCAGGGAATCAGAGTGGGTTGATGGGGTCGGGTCACCATTGGTATCTAACCACAGTCTCCTCATGCACATGAGGACTGAAAGATGAAGTGAGACCAATTCAGATTATGCTCAGACATTTTAAGTGAGAACAGTTCATGGAAGGGCTTGGCAGGGATAGCAGGGGCTGCCTTGGTTTACAGCAGTGGTATGAGGAGAGCACATCGTTCTGGAGCAGAGCTTGATCACAAAATACAGACCCAGCTCAGGGGTGAAATGGCCCCACTGGGCTGTTCAGGTGGCCATGGAGAGGATTGCAGTGCTCTGAAACTGAGATAAGTGTTGATAGCACCCAGCAGCTCACAGCTCTAAAGCCAGTGTGCAAATGGGGCAGTGTGGCTTCCCCACCATCTCTGAGAGAAGGGGAATGRGAAGTGAAATGATTCCTGGGTCACACATCAAACTGGTGGCCAGGCTGGGACTGGAGCAGTCTGCTTGTGCTGCCCTGCATCAAGAGAACCCCTCTCCTTTTCCCCAGGCAGGAGCACAGCCTGACTGGAGGGGTATTTGCAGGGATCAAGTCAGAATTTGCTTTTTTCCCTCGAGTTATCTCTGAGAGCCCAGAAGGAAATAATGTCCCAACATGCATCCAGGTTCATTAATGAGGGAATGTAGCTGGGTTAAATGCCTGGTTACCAAGGTTTTCCAAGCTCCCTGCATCAGCTGGATCTGCAAACTCTCCCCAAGTCGGGGTGCAAGCAGCTGCTTCTCCAGGCCGAAGTGCAGTTTACAGGCAAATCCCACCTGTAATCAAAGCAGCCAATGGCAGATGATCAAGGTCTGGCTTTTTTGGGGACTGAAGGGATGTGCAAGAGAGAAATGGGGTCAGGAAACGGGTTAAATTGCACCTAGGTATGATTTGACAATCACTCCCCTGATGACAGCTTGTAATGTTTACAATTTGTCTTCTGTTTTGTTTTGTGATTTCAGGAGCAGAAGGCACAGTGTTCCCTAAATCTATAGAAACTCCCAATGTCAGGGCAGACCCCTTCAAGGAACTAAGGTAAACTTTGGAATATGGTTTAATGGTAACTCAGTGGAGCCTTGTTGGAGTTGTGCTTACTGCTGGGCATCATTTCTGCTTTTGCATAAGAGCTTGGGGATTCCCTTTGGAGGGCATCATGGAGAGGAGGGACTGCCACATTTACATGTGCTGTGACCAAACTAAAGGCAATCACAAGCCATGAGAGCAGCATTTCTGCTCTGTCACATGCTCTGCATGCCCTGGGCTCAGCATTTGGGGGAAAAAAATAGAGTMATTTTATCGTGGTTGTGCAGGAAGGTGCAGAAGTCTGTTCTGGATCACAGGGAGTGGCAGCAGGCACGAGGATAATGCTCCCCAATATGATCTGTCTTACAGAAATGCAGACCCTCCCTGGCCTACCCAGGGCATGGCTGTGCATGTGTGTAACTGCTGACACTTGCAGAGATTGCTGACAGCTTTGGGCCACGAGGGAATAAACAGCACAGCTCCTGGGAGCCAGCTCTGCCCTCCAGCTAATGCAGGGCATTAGATTTATTTTGGTTTAAAAAATTAATTTTTTTTAGAAGTGTGGCACTACAGGTTAACTTGGATGACTGGTCTCTGGAAAGACACTAATCCTATGGCCTAATAAATTATTGACCTCCTGTTATCTTCTGACCAAGAGTGCTGTAGAGCTCTGCCTCAACACTCAAATTATCCCTCCTTAGAAAAAGAGAGGGAGATATTTTAAAAAAAWTTAAAAATGCAGARKCATTTTGTCCTTAAATCTTGGGTTGCAAACTCTCCTTTTTTGCTGTAAAGTGCTGGGGATGGAGCAGCCTGGAGCCAGCTGAATTTGAGCATAAGAGCTGCAGAATTACAGCAGATGTAGGGGGGTGAGAGAGAGCCCCTCTCACTGATTCCCTGCTCTGAGACCAGGGACARGTCACCAGCTAGGACACCATGGAAGAGGAAAAATATCCCACCAGYCTTCCCTTGGGTCTGTCTGCACCTTTCAGTTCCCCCAGGAAACCCTGTAATTGTTGGGATTTTCCCCTCTGGGGATCATCTGTCAGACAGCGAGCGCAGTGATTCACTTCTTTAGGGAAGTTTGTTCACTTTCTCCACGCAGTGACTTCAACCCTGCCTCGTGGTTTGCCCAGTTTGGGTCTACTTCCTTCAAAAAAAAAAARARGRWTTTAAAAAAAAYGTGGCCAGTGCTCACCACGATGTGCAGCTGGCAGGGAGTGGTGGGGCAAAGCCCTTCATTTCCCTGGAAAAGCCAAGCAAACCAAGACATCAGCAGATGGGTGGGTTTCTAGGTGAGCTCCAAGTGACAAAAGTTTTCTGGCACAGCCCATATTTACTGACATTTTCATTAAAAAAAAAAAAAAAAAGAAAAGCAGGATTATGGTTAGAACATCTAACAGCATCTCCATGACCTACAAAACCAGGTCTTGAGTAGTGCAAAAGAGATGGAATATTTAGGTCCAAGTTTGTGGTTACTTAAGGCTTTTTATAATGGGAGGGAGAAATAGTCCAAGTAAGTGTAGGATGTTGTTTTGGAGGGGGAAAATGTGAATTAAAATGGCCTTAATCTGATTGACTATGCTCCTGTTCCAAAGCAAATTAAGCTAAATGAAATTGAAATGAATTAATGGCAGTATCCATGCAAGGGATTGATTCAGTGTATTTGATCTGCTTTAAATTCATGTTGTTATTTCAGTTGTTTTGTGTGGAAAGCTGTTAGGTAACTGACTTCCTTTCAAATTAGTGGGCTGAGTGAAAAAGTTTTATAAAATCTGTTGGGGTTTTTGTATTTTTTTTTAAGGAAAATTATTGAATAGAATTAACTTGGGGGGAAAAAAAGTCCCACAGAGTCCTAAAATATTTTGTGCGCTTCTGACAACTTTATCTTGGCAAAAATAAATGTTTTTACAGCATTCTGAGAGGAAAAGAGGCAGTGGTRGCACTGTGCAGGGAAAGCAAGGTTTTCCAAGCACAAATGCTCTGTTGCTCCCCAAACCRAGATCCATCCATCTCTCTCTACATGTTGGATCACTGGCTGCTTCTTAGGTAAAACGGTGCCTTYTGGGGGCAGTTCAGAGTTAATAGTGGAAATAATCTTACTCTGAGGGGAGATTTTTTGGTGCCTTCCTATTTTGGTAGCAGAGTGTGTGCATAAGGTGTYGTTTTTTGCCTGTTTCCAAGGATGCTGCAGTGGGATGGGGCTGGATGAGATGGGCCCCAAGCTGTCACACTTTGCTGGGAAAGCAGCAGTGAAAGCATACAATCAGTGGCTGGCTTGGCTCTAAAAGACCTTTTCCTGCAATAAATTGTGCAAACTTTCATTCCTGCTTAGGCTGAAGTTCTGGGGTGGAAAGTGCACATTCAGCTGCTGCAGGTGCCCCCAGGCACCACCGGCCTCCATCTCTTTCCCAAACCAAAAGATTACGACCCRTTGGTGATTTCTCCCTTTGCTCTTGTCATTGGTGATTTCTYCCTTTGCTCTTGTCAGTGCCCACTCATTTTTTTTTTTAAATTTCAAAATGAAGTGGCAGCAACTGTTGGTATCACAAAGAGAGTGGAGCAGCTGCTCCTGTCCCAGCTGGGAGTCAGGACACCTGCATGTCCTCCTTCCTGTCCTCCTCCCCTTGCCCCTCTCCTGAACACAGACAGATTCCCTGGCAGGATGGGCAGGATGTGCCACTCATCTCTGTTCTTTCCTTCCCTCYCACCTCCCCAAGGCCTTCAGTTGTGTCACAACAGCTGACACACTGCAGGTGACAGGACACACACTTGTTCTCAACAGAATTTCTGTCCTTTTAGCTGATGAATGATCCTCATAATTCAGCTATTTGGGTAAATCAGCTGTTCCACGTCGCAGTGGTTCTCTTTTCTCAGTGTCCTTTTTAAAATCCTTTTGTCTGCAGTGGTTTAGAAGGAGGCAATCCCAGTGGGAATATGTGCACAGCCTTTTCCTGACATGCTAAGCCCATCACAAGGCTGCAAGAATGGGTTTTGTGCTTGTTGGAGCCAGCTCTGGACTTTGCTGCAGATTCCTGTGACCCAAAACAGTCCTGCTCAGTGTCCACTGTGGTGGGAATGCCAGAGTTCATTAACATTTTGTTTAATGCAGGATGTAATTAACAGCTCATGTTTCCTACCTGGCTTCTAGAATGTTCTTTAATAGTGACCTAAAAGCTAGAGATGSTTGACAAATGATTTGATTTACTTTGTGAATGTTTTCATGTTTTTACTTATTCARAGTGGTTGTAGACTCCTGAATGTGTTTGTTGTTGTTCGTTGGGTTCTAAACTGGTCAAAAGCTRTTAAAAGGAAAGCAAACAAATTCARATTATTTTCAAATACTTGGAATGTTTAGCATTGCCATCTGGTATCGTCCCAAAATAGTTTAAGGGGAGGGCTTGGGAGATTTGTTTGGACATTGACATATTTGCACTCATCTGCATTGATGCTTTTTAAAGCAGGTTGGTGCCTTTGACATATGGTAATGTGATTGCTTATGTATAAAAGTTGAATTCAATATGACCTTTTCTCACTGGATCATTTTAGCAGCACCCAAGTAGCTTGTCAAGAGCCTGCCTTGAGAACCTCTCCTTGACTTTGGCAGGAATCACCTGCCTTCTCCTATTTACATTCTTGCAAAAAACAAATACATGCCAGGGAGGCTAACAGAAGATGTCTGTCAAACACAAGATCACTCTTCTGAGGTGAGGGATGAAGGCTGAACCAGGCAGTGAGTAAGAAGAGAAATAGTTTAAGGCGAGGGGATTAAAAAGAATAGAAGAAAAAGTATCAGGAGGATGTTGCAGAAGTGCCAAGTGCTGGAAGCTGGGGTGGTGTTGGAACAGAGCTGCCCTCAGTGCCAATGTCCAGCTCATGCTGCAGCTTGGAAACCTGCTCCAGGGTATTTCTGTTCCCAAAGTTAAATAAAAAGAAGTCAGACAGCATGAAATTCACTCCATGAGGGGCGAGCACACACCTGGAATTCATCCACAGATACTGGAGGTTGAAAATGCACTAAATTGCTCATCCAAGGCCAGGACACCAAGGGATGACTTTTTTTTCTATAATGCACAAATATAGTTAAGAGAGAATTAATCCCTTGGGCTTAAAGGAGTAATTTTGACTAAAGTTAATTATGARGCACTGAAAGCACGAAATGGCAGATGAAATGTGCTTGCTGCTTGATTTTATTAGTGCAATTCCACCTTACCACGTAGAGTACTGAACTACCCAGATAGTCCAAGTGAGACCTATTGTAACAAAAAACAATTTAAATACAGTGCTGAGCTAACGTGACAACATTCAGTTTGAAACACGGTAATTCTTACTGAGTTAAGGTTTCTCTCAGCTGTGTTTCACAAGGCACCATAGATAAGTAGGAACACAAATAATATTTCTGTCTAAAACCAATTACGTTAGCAATGATGAAGAGGAGAAAAATTAGAGGAAATGTGAAAAATGAATGGTACAAAGGAGGAAGTAATTGGTGAGAAATGAAAGTCATTTATAAAGACTAATATGTGATACTGAAAYGCTGTTTAGTTCACAGAAAACACTTGTGGATTCCTGTGAGGTGACAGCAAGGGGGAAGTGACCACTGTACCCTTGTACGTAGCTGGTGTTATTTTCTGATTGATTTACCAGAAGAGATGCAATTTATTTCTCTCTTATACCAGTGCAATGCCAATAATTTTGGTAGTCCTACCAGCTTAAATGACGACAGATTTTCCTTGGTATGAGCTTTACCTTCCACACTGTAACAAATATAGCTATTTTCAGTTCTTTTCAGACTGGTTGAAAATATACAACCATCTCTACTGAAGTCAACAGAAATGTGTTCATGTACAACTAAAAGCAGAGACCAGGTTCCTGATTTCTAAACCTCAGTCTAATTTAAATGGCCTTTGATGAGTTGCTTTCAAATGCCAGAGATCATCATCACCTCCTTTTCTGATTGAGGACACCACTCTCATCTAACCATTTTCCCATGGCAGCCAAGGCTTCCTGAA